AAGCATACCTACCATATTTTTATAAAATAAAATAATATAAATTATGTAAATTTTTATTGTAAATTTTATAATATAAAAAATAATATATAATAAAAATGCAATCTAATAATAAGATTTAAGTGAAATTTTTAAGTATAAACTCGACCCTGCAATAAGCGACCACCTCTTAAATGCGGCCACTCTAAACGGCGGTCATTTCTTTAAAAACTCTTTAAATGCGTACAGAATAACCTTCAAACAGCGACCATTTTTTAAAAATGTTTATCATCAGTGGCCGTTCTTTGGAGGTTTGACTGCATAAAACAATTAAAATAATTCAATTATATATGTGATTAATATTAAATTTGGAAAAACAATTTAATAATTAATCAAATTATTTCTTTTATCAATTAAAATATGAAGTGTTTCTAAATTTATTCTGTAATTATATACAGTAAAACCTGTGTAATGCGGACGATACCGAATATTTTTCCGTTTTAAACAGGTTTAAACTCTTGAAGCAGATTTCCGTTTTAGGCAGGTTTTTACTGTATTTTATTTTAAAATAAATTGATAATAATTATTGAATTTAAAATGAATAAAAGTATTAATTTGTTTACTAAATTTCTATTCTTTACTTAGATTAATTTAATAAATAAATTACTTTGGTAAATATCAGAATAAGGATGATGTAAAGTGATTTTAAAGTAAAAAAAAAAAAACAAAGTAAAAGTAAATTAATTAAGATAAAATTTTAAAGAAATTTTACTTATTTATAAAATTTTAAATACAATTTCTCTCCATTGCTCTCTTGGATAATTCAAGTAAATAAATGACGAATTTTTCTTTAAATTATAAAAAATATATTAATTTAATTTGATCGATTAAAAATTTATCTTCATTATTTTTAAAATAGGTTGTTGAAACATTTTTGAAAACCATCAAAAAGAATATAAAGAAATAATAATAAATAATGCTGAGGAATTATTTAATTTAATCTTCATTTGATGTTAATAGCATAAGAAACAGCAATAACAGCGTGTTGTATATTATTTACTCTTCATAATTTATGTTAATTATTGTAAAAGTATTGTAAATTGTTTAATTTATGTAATAAAGTATGTATAAAAATAATAAATTATATATTTATTACATTAAAACTAATAGAATATTACGTACGATGCTGATATATTAAGTGTTTTTTTTAATGTATTAATCACTTAATCCGATTAGATAACTGATATAAAAAATTAGTAATTTATTATTTAATAATAAAATAAATAAATATAAGTTATATAATTTTTTTTTGTTTCAAATAATTTTCTCAAGTGTACAATCTTTTCCGATATATTTCTCCATTACTAAAGCAGCAACCGTCAACCTGTAATGTTGGCTTATCCGCAGAACTTGGTAGTCAGCAGTGAAGCCCAATTCCCAGGCGCTTATAGGTTTTCCGTGATTGATTCCTTCCAAGCTGGAAGGAAATAACAGTTTCGAGGGGGAAAACACGCACACACACACGCACACACATACACAACCTGGATACAAGTATTCGTGTCAATATATATCACATTGTGTTGAGTAGAAGAATGAGTGGAATTGTTTAAATTCTGTAATTTATTAAATTGATTAATATCAGGAATTTGAATTTTTATATTGAGAAGCATTTAGGATTAAATATAAAAATTCAAATTAATAATTGCAATTATGATCTCTTTATTTGTGTAAAAATACAGGATATCCACGAAGTCTTCTCTAGTATAGTAGATAAAACACTAGTTAGTCGTTGGTTCGAGCTCGACTGCGTGGTTTTTAGGATTTTATTTACATGTATAAACCTAAATTAGGGTCTAATTTCTCACGGAAGACCTCTTTGAAGGTAGCACACCCCCTCTTAGCATATCGCTCTTGTGTTGCATTGTATTATCCCATAAATACAATTATGTGATATTTAATTCGTGTTTGTTGCACCTGAAACACTAACTAATCAATCGATTGTGTTTACAAGTATAGAATGTTGGTATTGCTCGGTTCTCAACCAGTGGTACACGTACCACAAGGATACCCGTTAGTATTACAAATCTATACAAGAAGACTCAGATGGTACACGAGTGAAAAAAGGTTGAGAACCTTAACGAAAGTATAGAGGGGTCTAACTACAAACATAACAAGTAAATGTATCTGATAGCCTACGTAAAATTTTTATATAATAAATATGATGGACATCCTGTACTTTTATTAATACATACAATAATGAAATTAAGATTATATTTAATTTATTATTTATATCTCACTTAATTTTATAGTTTAGACAGAAGATTAATAAATTATATATTGCTGGATACTCAGTATCACTCGTTGCTCTGTTGATATCGCTTGCAATTTTCTTTTATTTTCCGTGAGTATAAATATTAACTATTTATAAAAAGTAAGAAATTAATCTAAACAACTGACATAGATAATAATATTGGTTTTAGTTCACTTCAGTGCATTCGTATTACCATTCACAAGAATCTGTTTTTCTCATTTATCATGAACAACATGACATGGATCATATGGTATACCGAAGTGGTTCAACACGTAGAAGTTTTGGAAGCAAATAATGTAAAGATTTCATTAAAAATTTTAAATTTTTATACAAATATTTTATATAGTAAAAGAATAAATAAACCAAACTTGCAGATAGGATGCCAAATTTTGCATATAGTTGTGCATTATTTTCTTGTGTGCAACTATTTCTGGATGTTCTGCGAGGGATTACATTTGCATACATTGATGGTCTTCGCTTTTGTACAAGAAAATAAAATATTCAAATGGTTCTGTGTTATTGGATGGGGTAAGTCGTTATCTGTATTCATTATCCGACTCAGAATCAGTAGTATTAATGTATCATGTTATTGATTCTAACACGTGAGTGTTGATTTTAACTGTAAATAATTATTTGTTTTTTATAGTTTTACCGCTGATATTAATTACTATATACAGCTCGGTCAGAGCATCTATATCTAAGGAAGCAGTTTAGTAAGTAATATTATCATATTTTGTGGTAAAATCAGCATATAACCCGCACACATCCCTTCAATAGAAACAATACAATAGGTAGTGTGCAATCTAGCGCCATCTGTAGACACTTTTATTTACTATTAATGTATATAACAAGTTATTTATTACTATTTTATTTCGAATTATGAACATTTTATACTTATATATGTTTTTATAATAATAATAATAATAATAATAATTACTGATTTATTTTTTATGGTTTAAAAAAGTTGCTGGATAGAAGAAAGTCCGACATTCTATATAATAACAGTACCGGTGTGTATATCAATGCTGGTAAGTATCCAATAAACTCATTGTTACCGAATTATTTATTATTATGAAGTTTCTATATTAGGCTGCAATTTTAAAGAAATGTAGACCTTTAAATTTCCACTGTTTGCCCTTTCTTAATCCGGAGAACAGTGTTAGATTGGTGAAAATCGAGACCAGATATGAAAAGCTTAAGGGCAAGAGTTCCCTTATAAGCTTCCTTAAGGGCAGGAGTTTCGGATTTGTATAGATGATAGCATGAATCTATTCTTTCTTTTGGTGGAGTACAGATATGAAGGACCCATAAACCTCTTTCCGCTCTGGGAGCACTAAGAGCTACACATCCCCTATGGTAGGGCATTGTAGCTAATATTTGTTCTGATGTGCCCAGAGCTACAGAACTCGTGCAGTAGTGGAAAGACGACTGACTGACAACTGACTGACCCCAGAAATTTAGAATAATTACTTTTGATTGAGGTCACTGGCTACAACTTATCGGTCTTTGCCAAAGTTTTCCTTCTCGGAAAAGCTGGTCTCCATTGTGGAGGAAACCCGGAAAAACTTTATTGTTGGCCATGCCAAAAGTGCCAACTACCAGTACAGTGAGTCCTATACTACCTACACTGGTAAATGAAGAAGGAAAAGCAAATATGAAAAAGGGGACTCACACGTATAATGGGAACTCTAAAATCATTTGCCAGATTTTAAAGTATTCTTAGGACTAGTGTTTTAATTAAGAGACCCTTAAAAAGTCGAGGCCCCAAGGAAAGGCTTCATTTGACTCTGCCTAAACTACCAGAGCAAATAACTTAAGATAACGAATGTAAAACGTGTATAAACTTTTGATCTTAAATCGCATTTAAATTAAAATTACTATTATTATTTATTAATTAGATGCATAACTAAAACATATTTAAACCAATTTGATAAGAATTAAGAAAGAAAGTAATATATTTAAGTTAATTAAATTAAACTTGTGGAAGCAGAAACTTCTTACTTGTTAAATTACATCACGACTTATCCTCCTGGTAACTTAGGAGATTTTTATAATAAATGAAGTAAGCATATAATAATTTCCTACCCCAATATTAGTTACATAAAACAGTATAAATCTTAATCATTAGAATTTATAATGTGGATANCTAAACACTGGTAGCTGGTCGTGGGGGCCCACCAGTGCCCAAGCGATTCCGTTCCCTGAACACTAGAAATTCGGTCGTGGGTTCGAGCCTGGCCAAGACGGGCTGAGCACGTGCAGTTTTCTAAATTTATATTAAAAAAAAGGGCATTAATGAAGACAAGTCCTATCACAGTAGAGGACCTTAATGATCCTGTAATGTGATACGACTTGTTTTTATAACATTCTACAATTTTGAGGACCTGTAAATTTGAGACTTAATAGTTTTTTTTAATGTAATAAGGCATTCATAAAGGGCCTCAAAAATGCATTTTTCAAAAAATTTCCTCCAGTGGTTGCTGTTCACAGGTTCTCGTCAGTACAAAAATTGACAGGACACAGGGAAAAAGTAATTTAATTTCAGATTTTTTAGCTCATTTCTGAAGGTTTGAAGTAGATAAAAATCTTTTAATTTGAAGTATTTTGTTGTTTAACCTTTTTTCTCCCCCTTCCTACCCCGAGGAATTAAGGTAATCTATTTCAAACTGGAAATCGAAACCGGACTCCTCTTCTACTCGATTGCTTTGATACGACATTTCAAGTACAGATGCTGAAAAATGAAATAGAAGAGAGTAAAGTAAAATAACGAATTAAAAAGTTATTATAAAATGATGAAAGAAAGTTTAATATCTTCAAATCGCTGTCGGCTGTGAAAGTTTATATTATTAAAAGACGTATCTATTGCTGAAAAGTGAAAGCAAAGTTTTCTTTAAAGGGAGAAAATACTGCAGAATGTCAAAAATACTGTTTATACACTATATTTCATACAAAAATAATTAAATATTCTCTGTGTTCAATAATTATGTTGCCAACTGGTTTATTAAGTATGTGCCAATATAGTATTTGGAACCCCTAAGCATGTGAGGCATATCCTTAGGATTTGTACGAGTGGCCGAGTGGATGAAATCACTAAACACTGATAGGTGGTCGTGGGTTCGCGCCTCGCTAAGGGCAACTACGTAGAGTTTTCCCGATTCTCTCCACGTTAATAATGCCCAAATAGGTGTCAGCTTTCAGTAGAAAGTCCTGACGAAAGGCATTCTCCTGGGCAGATCCAGTACTTAATATTTGATAATATTAATTATCAAATATATTAAGTACTGGAACTGTTTGGATTGTCTTATATTGAAAAAACACTCGTATTTGGATGTTAGGCACGTGAATAAAACCCGGAAAACTCCCACGTGACATAAACTAACACCTCATATATATATATACGGGAGTATTGGACACTAATAGTTGGTCGTGGCGAACCCACGACCAACTATTAGTGTCCAATGCTTTTATCAATTCGGGCAACGGTTGCTATTGAGGATTTTGAAATTTAAATAGACATATTTAGCCGTCCAAAAGCGAGAATATTATTATGGTGACATTTCAGAACAAACAGAAGACATTTCCGTAAAAAAATAGTAGTACAAAAATTCACCAATATGGCACTTTTAGCGCTGCAAGCAACAATGTGACAAGTGTACTGTAATTGACCCTCTGATCCTACACCTTTCAAAGCTACCAAATATACCAAATGTCCTTGATAAACCACACATTTACAAAGTGTCCCTTCAAATAAAGACAGCTTTCTTATTGCTTGCAGCGACAAAAGTGCCACAATGGCAAGATTTGATACTAATACTTGTTTTATTCCGCGTGTCCATATCAGATTTAGTTGTATATAGACCGATAAAAATCTATCTCCACAGCGTTAAATAGGGGTACTTCAATTACGATTACTCTCAATTTTTAATTAATTAATATACTGTATTATAAAAAAATTATAAAAGTCGTTTGAATAATATAGAATTTATTTTNTACAGATATGTCAATTATTTATCACTCGCTTCCCTCTGAGTTAACTCATATTTGGGCCACCCTGTGTCTATGTATTATATTCTATACATATATATATATATAAAAGACAGGATGGTCCAAAAGTAAGTTAACCGAATATATGTTTTTAGAATCGCTTTATAAATTAGTTATAATGATAAATTATTCTCTTCCCTCTACCTCAACAGTTTTTTGGATTTCCCTTCCAATATGTTAAATATTTACGTGTATATATATGTTTTAACATATAAATAGGGTGGCCTAAAAGTCAATTAACTTGTCTATACAGTACTTTAAAGCCTGTTTGGGATAGATTGGTATCGTTAATGGTGGTTCATTTGCAATCTTTCTCTCACGGTTAACTGAGATTTGGGCCTCCCTACATACGGTTACTTTTCTACGGTAAATTATATTTTATAAAATCACCGTTCTGTTATACGTTTTAAAATAATAATCATTATTATTTTTAATTTAAAATCGAAGGTAATTTCAGTAACTTAATCTTGTTTACTGTCCAACTGAATGAGTTAATTCTTTTTTAATGTTCAAATTTGTGTAGGAAGATAAACTTTTATCGGAATTTAACGCTAATCTCTTTAAATTATATTTAATTTTATTTCGTTGCTACAAAATTAAGACAAGTAATCGTGGGTTTAAGTATGCAGGAGGGCGTCATAATGATGTTTTACTGTATACGGTCAAATGTCATTATAGCTCTTTCTGTATATAGCAGTAAACTGCTATATAGAAGGGCTTATATATACAGCTCCAAAGTTTAAAGGTGAACATATAGTGGCTCTAAATATATTAAATATTAACTATATTCAGCTACTATACAGGTAGACTTTTGGCTCTTTTCGGTTCCTGGGGGTTACTTGCCCGAATTCGAACCCTGATTCCCAGAGTATTTCTTGCCTTAACTACCTCGGTAATCCGGCATACTGTATTTTATACAGTACAGCATATTACGGCTTTATATAGAGTATAGTATATACAGTTACGGTACTGTTATGATTACAGCCAAAAGTATACAGTACCTGTACAGGTATTGTATTCTTTTCGCTCTGTGGGTAGTAAGTTGAAGTTGCAATTCTTGATTTATAAGGCGAATGTTTCTTTATTGTGAGGCATAAAACTTTATCTGTTGTGACTTAAAACCTTCTGGTGCCCTTAGGCACAAAAGATTAGAAGCTTTTCTATATAATATTTTATGTAGTGGGGCCTCTAATCTTCTGTGCCTAGGGGGTATCAGGTTATGGTCTCATAAACTAATAACGACAAAGGTTACGACGTCATAAAGTAATAACGCTGAATTGTAGCTAATGAATTATTTATAAATTACGTTATATAATTGACATGAAAAACTTACGTGTCTAACACCTAACAGAAGTTAGATTCCCCGGCCTCCGAGAAGGCACTTCACTCGTGACAGATCATCTGCATTGCCTTATTCCAATCTTTTGCTAGGACCTTGTGTTTTAGGGCCTCAGACAGTCTCAAACGTATGCTTATTGACACTCGTACTCAGTAGTAGAACTGTTGAAGCGGTATGATATAGAATATATATGACATCTGACGTAAAAGGGGCCCTTCAAGTTGAAGGCACAACCTAAAATCACCATTTTAAATAGTTAAAAAGTAATTCAGCTTGTAAACAAAGTAGTACTTTTAAAAATATGTATTTTTGATTAAGCTTTTTGCAAAATTAGGGTAAAAGGAGCATGAAAATCACCATTAAAACGGTAATTTTTCATTTCCCTTCCAGCGATTTCACCTTTTGTAACATCAAAAACATTGTACATTTCTAACGAATTTTCCAGCTTCTAATAAACCGAAAATATTATAAAATTAAAAATAATTACCCGCAAATTTTGTTAATTTTAATCAAATAACTTATTAATTAACTAATTAACATTATGCAGATTAATTTAAAATAATTTCAATTCAGGATCCGTTTTATTTCAATTATTACAAGTCATATCCTTTTACTAATGCATTTTTATACCAAAAAATATCATTA